GATAGTAATATTTCAATTATTTCTGGGGCAATATATCGCACAACAAAAAGTTGTTATCATGACAGGCCTACGTATAAGTATATTTACAGTATATACATGAATATAATCAAATATCCAGATAACCCAATGCTACAAAAAAGATTCTTGATTAGAAAAAAGGTTGCTGAACTCAAGAACCACCATACAACATTTTTAAAGAGAGTACGGGCTTTTACACACCCTAAAAGTTCATTAACACGAACACATGCACAGACAAACACATACAGCAACAGGCAGTGTGCTGAAAAGTGGAAGTGTCCATCTGTCGCGTGGGGAAACGCTACTAAGACAGCTCGCCGATTGACACACACATAGAGACTCCCAACCAAACAGAAAAACATGTCTGTCTCTCTCGTAATCATGGGAAGCAGAAAGCAGGCACATTCATGGGCACTATCACAAACCCTTCACTCACAGACTGGCATTAGAGCTGTAACAGCACAATACCAGCTGCTCTGACTGGCATACAAACAGTGTGTGTGTCTAACTGGATAATACCATGGCACATACCCGTCTGTCAGGACCTTTTTTCTCATGTATTTCCCTCTCTTGCCTCTTTGTTTGCAATTCTGTCTGTCTCTTTTGTCAATATGACACTGAATGTGTTATATAATGAATCAGCTACTCTTTCTATAACTTGCTCACTCTGTTTCAAACACACCCACAATTGCTCAGTTCCAAAAGTATCATTGCGACACAAAGGCTGTTCCAAAAGGTTGGTAACTTAATTATGCTGCCTAGTAAGGCACCTCATTTTAGCCAAATTTGAAGGCAGCATCACATGTATCCTTTACAGAGAAAGCAATCCCAGAATGCACTGTGAAAAAGATACTTATAATTAATTCAAAACTGTCAAGGGGAATGTGCAATTTGTGAATTAATAAAAAGTGAAGTTAGAAAATCTCAAATAACATTTGCTTACAGATGCCACTTAGTTTTAATATTTAGCTTTTTAATATAATGGCACTCCTACATTAAGTGTCCAAATTCACTGTAGATGTGCGTTTGTGTGTGTATATCCATTTTGGTATGTGCTTTTATACGTGTCAGGTTAATATCAGGAGGCTGCTTACTTTTGACCTAATGTGGCCCGACAAGCCCAGTTATTTGGCAAAGAGCACTCAGGTGTGTGTGGATCATCTCATGAACACACACACACACACACTCACAGTCATCCTATGGTTATTTGAAAGGACCTTGCTGTCGTCTTCAGTTAAGGGCACTCCAATGAAGGCCAATTACTAGAGGGGTTGAGTGTGGAGCCGTACTTACTTACACGAGCTAACAGTGAGACACCTGTGATCTCTCTAGAACAGATCACAACACACCACCGCTGATGAATTCAGGAGAAAAACAGGAGGATACACCAAACTAAACAAAGATCCTTAGAGTAAAATAATGGATGAGAATGAAGCAGTTCTTCCATTTTTATTCAGGGTCTTCATTTCTGCACATTTTGTTGCCTGGATTGATTAATGTATTAAACAATACATTAAAAGTGTCATTAATTTATACAATGACTTGCATAATCTCTTATATGATTAGTATGTTTATTTTTTAATCATTATGACAAGGCAAGATTAGTTCAGGTTGTAGTTCACATCTGGAACACGAACAACATCATAAACAAACGCTCTCACACAAAAGTATAAATAAAAAGGGTGACAAAGAATCTACTAGTTTCTTAACTTAAAACCAATCTCAATCCAATCTGTCTACTGTAGAAAATTAAGATTATTACATTATATTATCAATCCAATCATTTAATCAACTGCATCTATTGTGACAAGTAGATCAATAAATAACACTAAATGCAAAATTCACTTTTTAAATACCGCAATGTTAATAAAAGCATGGATAAAAAGGAAAACTAATAGCTATGAATTCCTTTACTCAACACCAACATCAATAAATCTAAATGTTTTAAACTAAATAAAAAAAATTTCTGTCATGACAACTCTCGGAGGGATTGGCATGGTAATGTACATGACAATGTTAATGTATTTGGTCTTGGCGGAATAGATCTGCTACGCTGCTGCTGCTGCTGCAGAGCAAGTACCGAGACTTGCTACTGCCAATACATCCACAACATGCTGCTGTGAGCATGTAAGAAATATTGCTGCTGCAAATATAACATACAAGAAATAACCCCCATATAGCGTACATGAATCACCTCGTAGCAGATCTATACAGGTGGAGCTGGGGATGGTGGAGGGTTTCTGAAGCAAGCTGCAACTGCTACTGCCAGCACTAATCATATATTTGAACGTTGAGCAGCGAGCTCATTGGCTACCGATACAGGAGAGAACCAATCAGCTGTGCCATGTGATAATGATGTCATTAGGTCAGATTGAGTTACACCTATAGGACTGCGCCATCTAGAGTTCCATGCCAGAACTCTGTATATCTTTTTAAGCATAATAGTGCAATGTTAGTAGTTTTGTGTAATGTGTCTTTAATCAGCATAATTTAATAGAAAGGGGCAGTATGTTGAATCAAATCACAATGGCGTAATTTAAATAAACTTTGTAATTTCAGCACATTTAGAGCCTGGTTAAACTGGATTGCGAGTGGTTGACGATGAAGAAACAGGTTTTTGCATTTCCTGAAATTCAGTAGGGCTGATATCATGATGAGAGAAGCTTTTGCATGAGGTAATCTAATTTGGTTAATAAATGCAAAACAGCGGCCATAGCTGCTTGTGCCATATTCCTGTATGGTGCAAGCCACACCAAGAGTAAATGAGCCCATGTGAACAGAACAGCAGCATAAATTATTCACGGGCTGAGATGGCAATTATGGCTCAGAGCACAACCAACATCAATATTTTATGAGGGCTAACGCACACTTCCAAGTGAATCAGAAAGAGAGAAAGAGAGTGAGAGAGAGAGAGAGAGAGAGAGAGAGAGAGAGAGAGAGACATCATACCTTCTTCCTCTTTAATGCTGGGCTGTGGGGGTGTAGGCATCCTCTCTGTGTACGGGGCGGTGGGGCTGCTGGGCTCTGCGGCTGGAGCACGCTCAGTAGAGACCCACGCGGGCTCAGCCATGTCCAAATCCTCACTGCTTACCGAACTCTCATCCTGTATGTGTGTAAGAGAGAAGGGGGGGGGTCAGAGAGCTCAGGATATTCTGTGCACAAAATGAAGCTCACCCACCCCACTATCGCCTACACATCACTAGATTCTCCCACATCTCCTCCACAGCCAGAGTCCTCAAACCTGGGTCAAAATAAACATTCTCTTTCCTGCACTTCCTGTTTGGTTCAACCATGATGCTATATGTAAGATGTAAATTAAGCAACACCTCACTTTACAAACTGTTTTCTTTTTTACCTCAGTCCATTATCATCCCAGTGTGTCCTTTCTTGAGGAAACTCCACATTCTGGGATGGGGGTGGAAAGGGACAGAAGGAGGAGACTCTTAAATAATGAGTGACTATGGAGGGAGCTATTTTTAACCCTGTTGGAACCAAAACCCAAAAGATGCACACACAGCAAGAGAAGAGCATAAGAGATCAGGGTGCGAACTACGGGGGAGCTAGCTAGGGGGAGCTTGGCTCCCCTTAATAAGACATGGGCTCCCCTGAAAACGTGATTTGTGAAATTTTGGGGGGGGTCTCAAAAAATATCGACAATGTGTTATTTTGACGTGCAATTTCAGTTTTGTGTAACGTGATCATCGTGGATTATTATGTGTAAAATTGCAAAAATATCATTCATTCATGCATGACGGCGATTTAAACCTAATTCACTTCAATTAAGATAACTATACATGCTATTCTTGTCATGAGCATCAAGGTGTGGGGGCGCTGCGGTGCAAATTCCACTCATGTTTAGTACATGTTAACTCAAAGATTCGTAGAAAAAATATAAACGTAGAGAGAGAGAGAGAGAGAGAGAGAGATTGGGAGACGGGGGTCTTCCCTATCCACTTTCTTTGTGTTTTTTGGGTCTCTCTCTCCTTGAACTCACTCACTCACTTGGTCTCTTCCTCTCTCAGCCTCACCAACTAATCTATTCTGCATGATTTAAATTATATCATTCACTATTGCCCAAATCCCTACAGAGAGATTTAAATTTGTGTTATTACACATTTATAACATAGTAATAAAGCAGTTATACCATGCATTAATTGCAAATACTCTATGTTTCTGAGCATTTATACAGTTTCGTTTTACAGCACTGGCATATGTACATAAAATGACACGCTAATAGACATTAATCATGAACAATTTACTTAAATTTGACCAGATCAATCATTTTGTTGAATACTGTAGAATTGGCTCCTGATGTAGTGGTGAGAATTCAATGCTGATAGCAGCAGTCACTTGATACCACTATTGCAACAGTGTCAACACGATCATGGCAAGAGAAATACTAGGCATATTCTTGTGTGTGTTTACATATGTGTGTAATCAAATAAATAAATTGGTGGTCATGTTTTATTTGGCATATTTTGTTGGTTAAATTGAATTCGGAATAGTGTACCCATATGATCCCACCTTTTTCTCTTTCACACAGTCTTTACTCTGTATTTGACTATAATGCCACTATCAGTTACTAAATAATATCAGTGTTACTAAAAAGTCTGTCATCTAATTAGTGAAGTCTCACATATATCACACATCATGTGCTGAAAGTAATAGAGACATATCTCCCTGTTAATGTTAAGGCTTAGTTCAACCAAAACTGAAAATTGTCATAATTTACTCTAAACCCATATGACATATAGTTCTCCAATCTTCCTCTCGCTCATAAGATATGTTGGGCCAAGTCTGATTGTCATTGTCATGAAATATCATTGATTCTCCATTGTCAGTGTGTCAAACCTGGTGTAATGCATTTTGGCCAGCTGTATTTTAATGCATGCAGATCATTTTCCACTTTTTGGTGCTTTTTAAACATCCTTGCCACTGTATGCTTTCATTGGGAAAAAGCAGCATAAACATTTCTCATAATGTTTCCTCGTGTTTCATGGAAGAACGTAAGTCACATGGGTATCGAATGACATGAGGCTGATTTCATTTTGCAATTAACTATTCCTTTAATGCCAGTTCTATGACTCAAAAAGGGTGTGACATGATTACTAGATGTGATGTCACTCAAACGATGATGTCATGCCATGATTAAATCACTGCTATGGATTGACTCACTCCTAACTCTTGCTATCATGTTTTTAGATGAAATCTCTCTCTCTCTCTCTCTCTCTCTCTCTCTCTCTCTCAGTTTCAAATATGCATAAATGCAACACCAGCCCCAAAAACTACACAGAAAGAGAAAATCACACGGGAGCATCATTTCACACAAGCAAATCTTAATATGCAGGACTGGTAATTGCTCACCCCAGTGTGGGAACAGAGAGCTGTCAATCAAACCGAGAGGTCCCTGGAAATATGGAAATCAAGTTGATGACTGGTTCACCTGGATCATATTCATGCTTATATTCGGTGTTGTAAGCACAGTTATTCTATAACAAGACACCTTGTTGGACTGCTAAGTTCAACTACCTTCTTTTGGGGTGCTAATATAGCTACTTGAACTAGAAACACAAATAGATAATGCATGAAAATGTTGATGGTTTGTAATTTGTTGTTATTGTTGGGTTTCAAGTCCCTTTGAAGGATTCCGTCAAAACCTTCAGAATATTTCAACAATGCAAAACATGGAAGCTGTATATTAAATTATATTACTTCATGAATCAAATCAAGAGATTAATATAATTATATAATAGTAGTATACGAGGGATAATAGTAATAGACGAGGGAAATGTAATCATTAAATATAATAAGTATTTTAAATTTTTTATGTATAATTAAAAACATTTATAAAAAAATATTAAATAAATATAAATATTAAACATTACTATACAGTGTTGAAACTCACTATCAGTACTATAGAAAGTATACTGGTGCTTTTGACATCCTTATTACAGGCAGCATCTTGCATTGACCCAACAGGTATTAGACATACTTTCACCTGGCAAGAAAGATGACCTGACCTCTGGAAACCTCTTTGACAGAGTCTCCAACAAACCAACCCAATGATAGAAATAGAGAGAGAGACGAAAAGAGAGCAAAAATAGTGTAAGAGAGAAAGGATAAGAGAGAGACAGGTCTCCTTTAGTGTCTATTGTAAAAGGCTGAAGGCAAACAACTCAATAATTCATGAGAGCAAGATTGATTTTGGGGGCTAGCTCAGGGGGTCGTGGGGGGACTGGTGTGGTGGTCTAGCTGGGAAATCATTAGCCCAGCTAACACACACACACACACACACACACACACACACACACAGAGAGAGAGGCAGGGCTGATGAACGGTTAGTAGGGCTGGGAGGGTCCCGTACCTTGGGGGCTGGCCGATTTACTACTTTTGTTTTCTTGCACACAAACACTGGCTTTATACCTCTTCTTTGTCTGTTTGTCTTCTCTGGGGAGGTGAATTGAGTGGTGGGTTAGACTAGGCCAAGAGACGAGGGAAAACAGGATGAAGCGCACTGGGAGTGAGAGAGTTTGTTTGGCTAATGGTTGTGTTGATTTTTGTTTTGTCTTCATGTCTCGTGGTAAGTCTTTTATTTTGAATTTATTTAGCCTCTTGTTTTGAAAGTCTCTCGCTTTCTTTCTTTGCTTTCCTTTTCCCTTGTGATTCCATTACTATTTTTGTATATAGAGCCCTCTTGTCTGGCTGACATATTAAAATGATCATATTCATGAGATTTATAAGTTTCCTTTCCTTTGTTGATGCATTTCCTATTGAAACAGGAAGTTGGGGAGGAACATATTAAAAGGCAATTTAAAGGGATAGCTCACCCAAAAATGAAAAGTACCCCCATGATTTACTCACCCTCACGCCATCCTAGGTGTATATGACTTTATTATTTCAGACGAATACAATCAGAGTTATATTATAAAATGTCCTGGCTCTTCCAAGCTTTATAATGGCAGTGAATGGTCGAGATTTTGAAGCAAAATATGCATCATAAAAAGTACTCCACACAGCTCGGGGTTTTAATAAAGGCCTTCTGAAATAATGCATTCATGTAAGAAAAATATCCATATTTAAAACTTTATAAACCATAATCTCTAACTTTTGCTAACTGTCATAAGTGCGTTCACGAGAGAGTGGCGTTCCAGGGGATTACAGGATTCAAGCGTAGCTTAAGCGCCAGTTAGAATATGTCTCGTGAGAACCAAGTTGTGTTTACAGCAAAGGAAAACCAGTCTCCTCTTGGCTTATATCAAAATCCTCCGACATTTTTCTTTACAAATCCTTGTTTTGTACTTTTAATTCGTGACTGGTGTTTTGTTTTGCTCTCTCCTCTGCACTTCTGCGTTCGTCACTTCTAACTGGAGCTTACGCTACGCCTACGCTCTATGTGAGTCATGAGTCATCGATATTCTTGGTCTGTTTTCCCAAAAGATACTGTCAATTTGTATTTATTTTCATACTAATAATTTGGCCTCAAAGCTAACAGACATGGACTAGAAGCCATAAAACTCAATTTTCAATTAATGGCATTGAACTTTACCATAGTTTTCAAACTGAACCGAATCAACACTGAACTGACTGTCTTCTGTAAACCTATTTTACAACAGAATTTGAATTTATCTTAAATTTGATGCATCTTTAATTCTGCTATTTTTCCTGTTTATCACTGTGAAGCTGCTTTGAATCAATCTGCATTGTATAAAGCACTAGACAAAGACTTGACTGTTCAAGTCATGCATGTTTCCTATGTTGAATCCCACTTTTGTTTTCATATATTGAAAAGGTTTATTTTTTTCGTAACTGATACTAATAAACTGCACTTGGGGTTCTGATGTGTCTCCACAGGTAGCGAAAAATTTGTCTCAAATGGAACGTAAAATATTGTACCTTGATATGGCATATCCAGCAATCATTACAGAATTGAAACAAGTCCTTGCAGTGTACACAGAGACCGTCTCGCACACTCTATAACACAAGACAGCTAACCAACTCTACGCTCCAGGCATGTGAACGATTTTCTGCACGTGTCAGCAGACAGCTTACACAACGTTGAGAGGCACTTTCCCATCTTAACCAGAAATTGGCTATTATATGTCTCTCTCCACATATCAAAGGCATAGATGTGTGTGTGTGTACAGCTGTACAAATGCTTGCCGGATACACATAACACCCTGAATACGGATGTTTCCACGTCATTCTTCTCGCAAATATCAAAAGAGCTTGAGGTGGCGTCTGATGGGACACACTCTTTTGTCATCGCTGGCTCCACAAATAATTCATAGACAGCAGAGTGAAGTCGAGGCACTGAGAACTCATACTGACAGCCACTACGTCCACATTCTTCCACCTGTCTTATCCTGTCTTCAGCAGAGACAAATAAAAGGACAGCAAGACGGTTTCTTGCTCTGACTGGTCAACTGTCTCCAGATGATGACCTCATTCATGGTCCATCTGATCAGATTTGGGAGGGGTTTGACTTGCCAGAGAAGAGAAGGGATTGAGGCTACTATGAGAGTCCTTCATCTGAGGAAAAATGGTACAATTGAATGAGAATTAAATTAGACATTTCTACACTGTGTCCTAACCAAATCTCTTTCATGCTGATCTAAGCTTCCTAATCAGGAAAATGCATGGGGCTGGGTGTTAAAAAAATTCCTGAAGCTCTCTATTCTGATTCGATAATATAGTAATGACAACTTGATGCTGATTCAACAGTTCAATGGATTCAGTAAGTTCACTCAGTGAAGAGTCTATCAGACTGGTTCAAACAGTAGGGCTGCGCAAGTTAACACGTTATTA